TTTTTTTTTGCTTGGGGCGGCCAAAAAGCCAGAGCCAGCCCTGAGTGGAGTAAAGTATGCTAAAAACATACTTCTTTCCATTAAGGGCACCCAAACACCGACAATAGGTTTTATATGAGGCCAGAATTTCAGCAGGGTCCCGGCTTGTGTTTTTCTGGGTAAAAATGGTGCCTGAACTTTTACACCCAGCCAAAACACTGTCCTTGCAATTCTGCGCCTGCAGACTGCAACCCACAGTGCTCCCATGAAGCCTGAGTGACTGGACCCTTTGCAGGTGAAGTGCAAATAGACTGAGGGGATAATTTTTAATAATGTCCTAGCGAAGCTGTAACTATTCTGCTGTAGAATACTGCTACTCAGCAGTGTTCCATCCAAAAGAGCAGTTATGTAATAGACTACACAGTAAGCAGGGAAGGTAGCATCAGAAGAGGCGTTCCCACGCTGCTGAAAAACGTTACGTAACGCCGGCTATTCACTTCCTTTACAAAGCATCAGACTTTACTTTCACACTAGCTGCTTAGCTGCTGTTTCTCACAATAAGAACCAATCTAAACTAAATGACACCCTCCATCCATTGGGCCTGATCCTTACTCAAACCACTGCTGTTGAGTAAAACAGGAGCTCTGGGTCAGTTAAATCCACAGGAGCGATCCACTGCAGCACCTGAGATGTTACACACATTCATTTTCACAAATTGCACAGGGGTCAAAGCTCTGCTCAAAATGGCAGCTACTGTACATCTAACCACTCTCTCATGATACAGCCCGTGACTAGTTTATGATGATAGATGAGCTGGCCTGAGTTAGGGGCAGTGCATTGTGGTGCCCTTGGAGCAGTCCTGAAGGGAGAGACTCTCTGAGAGAGTTACAGTCTCTCTTCCAAGTTCCCTGCTTCTCTGGGGAGAGAGTAAATGGAGCTGGCTATACCTAGCATAGTGTAAGGCACATATGTCCAAGACGCTGTCCATTCCCCTCCCATTCTGCCTTCATCAGCCCATCTTCATCAATGAGGATGTAGCTGCTCTGCAGAACCTGTTTCCATTCCCGCACTTGCAAATGGCTAGCACAGGGGAGCTGCTTGTACCCCCTTGTGCCTCTGAGCTACTGCGCTAACAGGCTATAATTTGGCCCTATATGGCTAGCAACTAGAAAAGGCTGTAATAGCAGAGTTTCTTATATCTCAGGCAGAATTCACCTGCTGGGCTGCAGTCCATGGACTGAGGGGAGGAACAAATCTACAAAAAAACCCAGGCTCCTGCTGTGTTCCAACTCCTTTTTATAAATATACCCTTAGTATAAAGTGTGGCTAACTTATGAAAAATTATATAAAGCTGGGCAAATAGTTTCACTCCATTGGCTTCATGACTTATTTTGTGTAGTTTGTTTTGTTGCTGCCCATCGGCATATCCTGAAACTTTAAACATCAGGCCCTATAAGGTATGTCTACACTGCAATTAAAAACCCCTGGTTCACCCATGTCGGGCTCGGGCTAAGAGGCTATTTAACTGCCATGTAAATGGCAGCCTGACCCCTGGGACCCCACGAGGGAGGAGGGGTCCTAGAGCTCTCCAAGCCCGAATGTCTACACGGCAATTAAACAACTCCTTAGCCAGAGCCATGTGAGCCCGAGTCAGCTGACGCAGGCCAACTGTAGGTGTTTAATTGCAGTGTAGACATACTGTTGGAGACAGCTAGCAGCCTCACCCTGTGACAGAGGATCCATTTCTCGGAAATCTTATTCTATACTTGGGTGGAAGATGGAACCTTTTGTTGCAACTATCATTTGCTTTACCAAGCCTAGACCTGTTCCCAGTCCTGCTATCAATCTCGCCCTCTTTTATAACTCCTGTGGCTTTTTTGACACAACCTTAATTTTATTTTTAGGTCATTTTCTCATCATGAGTCACAGCTGTGACTGTCATTTTACTACAGCGAAATGTGTCAGCAAAACCAAGAATAGTCGTTGTCTGTCGGACTTGCACCTAAAATGCTAATGAGGAAGATGCCGAACGCCGGAAGAAAAATGAACGGTAGCAAAATCAGAAAGCACAGTGAATGATACCTTTAAAATAGTACACTTATTTCCCCACATTTTCCCCCCATTGCCTTTTGTTAAAGGGGCCCAATTTTGAAGACCCTGGGGCCAAACCCTGGTCTAGATCAGCATCGTTTTCCACTGAAGTCACTGGGGTAGATCCTGAGCGGGGGTAAATTGTCATTGCTCTCCCAACAGAGGATCTGCCCCTGAGATTTCAACCGGGCTCCTGGGAGCGAGGACAGTTTACTACAGCTGAAGATGATAAATGCCTCAGCAATTTCAATAGAGCTACACCAACTAAGCGTTTGTTTCTTAAGGCAGGATTCACAAAGGTATGTTGGCCCCTGACTCCCATTCACTTCAATCCCACCCTTGATTTTTGGCAAAACTGCCACTGAAGAAGCCTCTCTGAGTTCTTCCAACATGAAGCTTTCAGGATTGCACTCAAACTTATATTAAAAACCTTCTGCAAGCAATAAATTGTGAATAAACTGGACATCACAACATTTCTCAGAAAAATGCCCAGGTTTCTTGGTAAATCCTGGGATGTTTCAACTACATGGATTCAAGCAGATGGGTCCAGGATCATTTGGAGTTGAATGGGCTGGATAGAATTAGGTTAAGCATAAACAGTTGGGTGTGTCTACCATGCTGAACCACCGGATTCTGGGAGGTTTTGAAAGGTCATACAGGTTCACTATCAGACAGTAAAGGGAGTGCTAGATGAACCATTTCCACTAGTCCACAGTCACACTGGCTTTAAAATACTTCAGACAAAAACAGTGTAGACAAAACTAGTTCTTACCACTCTGCAAGAAAATCTGATTTTATCCATTTCCTTAGATTGCATGGCATTCTGTGGTGGCAAGCAGAAGAGGAACGAGTTGTGTCACCTTGTATCTTTGAATAAAAAACAGTAGAGACAGTCATGTTATAATTGTGATGCTCTTTGTTCCTGGAGGTGAAACAGTAGTAGCTCCCCCAAGAAATACAGTAGCCAGTGTGGGGCTAAATTCCCTCTAAATATCAGTGTAATGGAGACTGATCTAATTTGGTTCTCTGTTGTATAAACAGAAGGGGCAGATTAAGTGGCTAATTCACAGTTTCCTACATTTAAGGCCAGAAGAGACCATTAGATTATCTAGACCAGTGGCTCTCAACCTTTCCTGACTATTTTACCCCTTTCAGGAATCTGATTTGTCTTGCATATCCCCAAGTTTCACCTAATTTAAAAACTACTTGCTTACAAAATCAGACATAAAAATACAAAATATCATAGCACATTATTACTGAAAAATGGCTTACTTTCTCATTTTATCATATAATTATAAAATAAATGAATTGAAATATAAATATTGTACTTACATTTCAGTGTATAGTATATAGAGCAGTATAAACAAGTCATTGTCTGTATGAAATTTTAGTTTGTACTTTGACTTTGCTGGTGCTTTTTACGTATCCTGTTGTAAAACAGGCAAATATCTACATGAGTTGATGTATCCCCTGGAAGCCCTCTGCGTACCCTCAGGGGTATGCATATCCCTGGTTGAGAACAACTGATCTAGACTGACCTCCTTAATAACTCAGGCCATAGAATTTCACCTAGTTCCCCTTGCCTTGTGCATAATAAATTGTGTCTGACTAAAGCATATCTCCCAGAAAGGCACCCAGGCTTCATTTGAAGATGTCAAGACATGGAGAATCTACCACATCCCTTGGTAGTTTATTCCACTGGTTAATAACCAGAGGCGACATGTCGGGGGAATGAGGGAAAGGCATGCAGAATCAAGTGCCCCCCACTCAGCAGTCAGCCCGGGAGGGGAGCAGAAGGGGTGGGGTCAGAGCCTCTTCCAGCTGCTGGGACACTGCCCAGTGCAGTGCAGCAGCTGCCTGAAAGGGTGCCCAGCTGTGGTGGTGGCAGGCTGCCTCCCGCCCAAGGTTGGCTTCCAGGGACAGCAAACGAGTGAGCCAGAGCCCCCCCTGCCACTCCGGCATGCTCAGCCCCTGCCCCCAGAAGCCAAGCCCGGGCAGGAAGCGGGCTGCCACTGCCGCCCCTCCCCAGCCAGACTCTCTCCCAAGCATCTGACTACGCTGCACAGAGCAGCGACCAGGAGCGGCTGCATCCCGCTATCCGCCCGGGCTTGGCTTCCGGGGACAGGGGCCAAGCATGCCGGGAGAGCAACCAAATGTGCCATGGGGCGGGGAAGCCGGTGCAGAGGGAGGACAGAGCCCCTCCCACCACAGGTAGTGTGTGGCAGGGAGAGCGCAGGGGCCTCAGGCTGGGGAGGAGACACATGTTTCTAGGAAACCTTTGGCGCATGGGGGCTAGAACCATGATGGCAGAGTCTGCCCCAAATCGGCTTGAGAGAGAAGAGTTTTGAGAGTGGAAATGGATCTGGTTTCCAAGGGTGTTGTGTGGTTCCTTCAAATGACTGGCAAGGTGTTCACAAAGGTTAAATCAGATTACATAAGAGTAGAACTGAAAGCATTGGAACCTCAGAGATTACTTCAGGACAAAAAACAAGCAAAACAAAAATCCTTGGGATTCAGTATGAAAAGAGTTAAACCAGACAACAAAACCTAACACTGTTTACAGGATTAACCTGACTTTTTTTTAAAATGAGTAGCGCTAGCGCTTGCACTCACAACCACCATGGTCACTGGGTTGTACCACATGTCACTTAACAGCCAGTTCTGTGATCACAATCTCCTATTATTAGAAATGTAATAGTCATAGCTTGTTAAAAACTCATTTTAAAATCTGTTGCCACCTGGAAGACTAGACTAAACAGATCAACAGTATAGGCTATCTATGAATATTCTGAGCAGAAACATAATTAGGGCTGCAATTAAGATTATCATTTAGTAAGCAATGTAGACAAGTCTGAAAAGATAAGCCTCTATCAGTTGCTGTTGGGGTCTAAGTGATTATTAGGCTTATAAGTTTTGGGCCATGTGTTTTTTCTGGCAATGTGGAAAATATGTTGAACAGCTTTCAAAACTCAAGTAATGATTGCAGTTTATTTCCTCTAAAGACCATTAATAATGGAATGCTATCAGCACACAGCTTGTGTGCGTGGATGGTCATAGGCACAACAATGCAAAAGTGCAAGCTGGGCATATTCTGGTTAGTCTTTCTCAGCGCAGCCACATTAATATAGTGCTTTTCATCCCAAAAGGTTCACTCGCCACTCAACTGCGCCTGTCTCTGGAGCACAACACACCAGCTGTTTAATAGCACACAGAAGCTCTGTGTACTGAAGAATACTATCTGTGGTAAGAAGACACTGCGGGGCGATTGTAGGCAGGCAGAATGTAATTACCCAGATCAGAATTTTCTTAGGACACTCAGACTATCACCTTGACCATGATAAAACATGTCATGGGCTCTTTAATGACCTCAAGAGTTCAGGACCTCAGTTTTATGTGCCCTCTGCAATATCTGGGTGAAAGACACAGGCTATTCCCTGCTTTAACCATTCCCATGGCTGCCTTAAGGCAACAGTAGATGGCAGTCAATTCTGCAGCATCGGTTTCTTTATCTCTGCTTCTTCTGATAATCATCTCTGACAATGGGATGCCCTCAGGGCAATTCCCTGGACTGTTAGTCTTCCTTTAGAGTGGTGCTTCCCAATATTTTCAGTCCCACCACCCATCCATCACAAATACACCCTATTGACCTGAAAGCTGTATTGGAACTCACCCAGTATTATAAATATACACAACAGTCATGGCCTGTATATCATGCGTCTCTGACTCACTCTGCTCAAGCAATGCACAGGGAGTGGAAACTGGCTGCAACTCACCAGCTTGGGATTTCACTACCATGGGGGAGTCCCTAGCAGGCATAGAGCCAGTAGAGCCTGCTCCAACGCACTTATCCCTCGTCGAGGAGCATGGCAAAAAGTGCACTGTGCCCCAGCTATCTCCAGCTGGCAGACAGCATCTTGGGGCTGCTTTCAGCTAGCAGGGTTTAGAACAGCCCCCAGGCTGCTCTAAATGCCACCATGACTGTGGCCAGAGATTCAAGAAGCTGTAACCAGTTCCCTAACAGCCCTTCTCTTTGCCTGTGCTGAATAAAACAACACAGAAGAGAATTTGAGAGAACAAGTTTTTCAAACGCTTGAGTTTATTTGGGTCAAAATCTCTAGGCATTTTCCTTCAAATAGCAGCCAGTAGCACCACCTGTTCTCAGGTTGCATGAGGGCCAGTATATTTTGCAATTCTATGAGATGCTAAGTAAGAAGCCTTCGTTTTGTTTCCAGAAACAGAAATAAGTTGAGTACGAACTTGCTTTCCTTTAAATAACTGATTTCCCCCCCCCATGAAATATTCAATTGGCCTGTATTTATCTTTGCTTTGTTTACTTTCCAAGTGTCTTTGCAGCTTTTATAGCTTCATGCTTTTATTAGCTCAAGCTTCTCCACAAAATACATGCTGAGGCTGGGGCCAGCCTCTTTTTCCATTTGTGTAAATCTATACTAGATATACACAGGACTGTATATTTTTGTGGGTAGTTTTTGCTTTTTAGCAATTGATTTATCTACTCTCGTGTTACATGTTTGGGAAGCCACAGGAACATACTCAGGCCTTCTCTGTGATTTACTTCCACTGTTTGTGAACAATCAGCTGTTTTTTGAACGTAAATCTACATTTTCAAGATAAGGAAAACATGACAGGTCTTTTTGTAGCACAACTCTTACTATTCAGGATATAATCACATAGCTGCATTTGTGACTAACACTGTTTGCAGTGTTGCTGTAGCTGTTTTGGTCCCAGGATCTGAGCAAGACAAGGTGGGTGAGGTCATAGCTTTTAGTGGACCAACTTCTGTTGGTGAAAGACAAACGTTTGAGCTCCACAGACGTCTTCTTCAAGTCTATCTTCTCTGATTGGTTAGGGGACTTGTTCTCATTCTGCTGGATAATGATCTGCCCTATTTTATTCATGCTTTTGTCACTTCTCAGTTGGACTACAGCAATGCAATATATTTGGTAGTGAAGTTA